TTTAACCACGGACTAACGCAATCCTTTTTTCACTGCGTCATTAAGTCTTGATGGCTCGGGGCTTTTTATAGTTACTCTAACTCATGTCCGGTTTTTTTACAGACGTTAAGCCACACACACATACAGGTACACTCAAGTATAAGAAAATTAATAAAACCTTTCTATATCCATCTATTTATTAAAAATATTCTTCGTTATCGGTATATATATCAAGTTTGAAAGAGCCGATCAGTCTTCTTTACTTAATGTCAACTTGAGAACTTTGCAAGAATGAGTCCCAGCTATGATGATGTTTGTATAGGACGAACGAAAGTTCGACCCGTTTTCATCCTAAACGAAGAGTGATGTCTTGTGGTCTGCGTTAACCTGAACGCCGTAGTAGAGCCAAACGGCTGTAGTACAACGAGGAGCGGCCCTCGTCCTCTTGTCAGCTTGTCTTACGATTCTCTTAATCATGTCCTTCATACGAAGTGGAGGTCTCCACACCAATAGCCTAATTAAGTCTATCAAATTAGGTATCTCATAATTAAGTTGACTATCCTATGCATATACTACTTGTTTGAAGAAAAGCGAAATTGCCTGAGATTAGATGTGAAGTGGTTGCAGATGACGCATTAAGTGGAGGCTCTATTCTCCCGTAAATCATTTGTATTTTTGATCCAACCATTTTGCCGCATGCAATTACACTCCAATACACCTGTGTTGTTTACATGCAACGCTCGTGAATTGCGTTAACTAAAAGTGAAATCATGAAAGGTCTTATTAAGTGGACTGTAGCAAGTAGGTAGAATCGCAGCTGGCCAACTTTCTTGTCTTGGTCAATTATTGTAAGGCATTGTGTTCTGCTCTGACAATGTCCGTCAAATGTCAGACAAGAGCTGAGCGAGTTTACGAGACGATGAGCCAAGAAATTATTTGCAAAAAGCTAGTTACAGCTAGCAGGCAATTTTCCTTCGGCTTTTGGTGATTTTTTTTCACGAATCCCTCCTACTCGCCTCTTTAAGCGAAGTTAAAGGTACTCCATCAGCATCCTTAAGAGATTCTTCTAAAACATATCTTTATATTTGTGTATGCCCTCCCGATTCTTGATTTGAATTATGCTCCAAGTATAACTATTTTATTCGTTATCTGGGGAACTATTGTCTTTTCTAATTTGTTTGTTTACAAGATTCCCTTCTTAAATAGTCATATCATATATCGTTAGGGAATACTTTATATTATAGACTTTACAATTGATTAACGATTTTTGTCTAGCTTACCATACTAACTGATTACCACTTATTACTTCTGTTTATTTACCTATAGTATATCGGATTAATTTGTAATCGGGAAGTGGCATTCCTTTTAACTCCTTTTTTCACTTTACTTTACTCCAGTTGATCAGGTAAATGGTCTTGTATCCGGAAAATACGGCTTCCCCGTATCTTTTGATATGATCTGCGCTCAGTCTCGGTGGGAAAATCTGTTCCTACCGCCTTCACCCTCCATTTCAGATGACCCTGCCATCGCTAAATCTTCTCCTAGATCCTCTCCGACTTCTTCTACCTCTCCGATTTCATCCGACCTATCCTCTTCTAGCCATAATAGAGAATTCACCTCGGGACCAAATAAAACTACTAACCGTGATGTCCAGATTAACGCTGAATTTGCTGCAGCGACACCTGATCCCGTGTTTGGCGAAGATGGCCAGTCGGCCAGTAAAATTCTCGCCAAGCTGCAGAAGTCTGCTATTGAGATTGGAGACGTCCTTTTTAAAAGTCCTGATGGCATGGTGCTACAACCGACCTTGGACGAGTATAAATATATCTACTCGAAGGGCAAACAGACTAACGACATCGCTGAACTTGCACCTGATTATGGTGATTGCAACAGTCTCTAGTGGGCTTTGTCTTTTCGCCATGATTTTTTATCTTGTATAGGCTTTATTTTTGCCGTTACTCGCTTGCTTTTTTACACTTTTTCATCATCTCTATTTGTCTTTATTTCTACCTGTATTTTTACATTTTTCTTCTTTTCTTGATTTATCACTCGTTTTTGAGGGTTTTTATACCAGCTCTTAGCAGCAGGTTCACTAATTTGCATTTCATTTAGTCTCACAAGTCAACGCTATTAACTTTAACACAAATCAAGACTTATAAATTACTCGTTGGTGGAATAGCCATTAGCACCATGAGAAACTCGCGCATATTCGATCGTGGTTTACCTGTGTTCTGATTCGACAATGTTATGC